AGTAGTAATAGTGTAATCGTCAAGTGAGTTTGTAGGGTATCAGGGGTAACAGTGGCCAAGCAATGCGCATTTCGGGTTTTCTTGCACTCAACGGCAACTTTTGGTTGACATCTTCTCAAGCATTGTTTACCACGATTTTTCAACTACCTACCGTATGACGCAAAAACCCGTGATCCCGTGGAGGGCGTTTGGTGGAAACGCGAAAATGACCTGTGGTAGCGATTTATGACTATCCAGTTACCAGATTACCAGATCTAAAATCAACCACAACCACAACAACCAAGTAGTAACACAACACTATAAGCAACCTCTTTCAACACCACATCAGCCTTTTTCGGCTTATCAGGCGTGGTAGCTTGTGATCTATCGAAGCAACGAAGCGGTCGTACCTCATTGTCGGCCGTTCGACAAGCACAAGAAGAAGAGATACCGTTCGTTCATTCGAAGCAGCGCCATTGTCGCCGATTCGAAGATACTGTTCGAACAGAAGAAGACGACGCGACGTTCGTTCGTTCGAACGCCATTGTCGACGATTGGAAGCTACCGATCGAAGCAGCGCTTCCGTTCGTTCGAGGCGCGGAAGCTACTACCACCGAACGACGACGAGAAGAAGACGACGCTACGACGGTCACGAAGCGACGGTCATATCCCATTGTCGTTCGCTTGTCGTGATCGAGAAGAGAGAAGAAGAAGAGAGAAGAAGAAGAGATCCTCATTGCAGTGTAATCGGCAGAGGAACAAGAGAAGAAGAGAAGACTCCAAGCGGCATAGCAACAGAAGACTCTCAAGAAGAAGGGGCACTCTCAAGTGGAGCGAGAGAAGAGACTTCCAAGTGGGAAGCAGAGGTTTGGACTTGGAATATGATCCCTCCAGTCTGGATCAATTCCTGCCTCATTGTCACCAAGAAATCGATTGAGCCAAGGAGAGGGGCGCCTGATCCAAGAGTTTTGGCCTAGACTGCCACAGACTGGTGTGTGCAGAGCTCATTCCGTGAATACAGCCTTACTTGTCTGGGTGTGTACAGTTTGCTGTGGAATAGGAGCAGAGAAGAAGACCCAACACTGTTGCTCATCCAAGTGATACCCATCTTCCTCTCTGCCTCCCAAACACCTGGCAAAACACCTTGCCAAGAAAACACCTGGCAAAAAAACTTAGCAAAAATTCGTCGTTGTGTATTATACGTAAAATACGTACAACACATAATACATGTAATACGTCAAATACGTACAACACATAATACATGTAATACGTATAATATTGTTCCACTTGTGTTATCTGTGTTATACGTATAACTTGTCTAATACATATTAAAAATGTTATATGTGTAATACGTATGATCTGTAGAATACATAGTGAAAATGTTATACGTATAATACAACCGCGTGCGTTTCAGGGGCTCTCCAGTAGCTGATGTGAAGGAGGGCTGATGTAGTGACGATAGATGCACTGGTACCGGTAGTTCATCATCGGCCGACCGTCTCTGGATCACTTTGAATAGGGATACAGCACGGGTACCGTACCTATTTATTCAACCTGGTTGGCTGCTCTGATCTGGGTATACTTGCTACTACATGTAGCAAGGTATACTCTAGCTATCATGAACCTACGGTATTTTACTAATATCGGACCTAGCTAGACTAGTATACGGTAGAGACTTGTTCTTCGGGATGCAAAACATTTGCGATTTCGTTGCTACCATGGAAAGCAATTTTTGGAGTCGAGTCACAGCCTGCATCCCCAGACGCTACTGTACAACAAGAGGACCAAAGTAACTGCATTGAGCGATAGAATGATTCTGTTTGTCTGTCCAATTCTTCCGTTGAGTTCCATGTACATGTACGGCTAGCCAGTTGAAGGGTTGATTTGCCATTACTCCATCTTTTGTCTCTTGGCAGATTGTTCCATCGATTCGTCGGGTGCGGAAGAACCTTGCGTCTGTTCTCCCTCTACAGCTGGATTCTCCCGCTCTCGTTTCATTCCAGGCCCGTAATGATCGCTACTGTTGTTGTTACTTCCCAAACTAGATTGCGATCCTCTTCGTCCCGTGGCTCGTTTATCGTCACGTACTTGCCCTCCAGATCGTCCTCTTCCGTACTGTCTCCCAGGATGAAATCCCGCGTCCAACTCGACCCTGATAATGCGGCCATCCAGCTTTGATCCTGAGAGATTTGCAACTGCTGATAGTGCGGATGCTCGATCGTAGTACTCTACAAAGCAGAATCCACAGGGCGTCTTCTTGTGCCGATCGAGCCCAATATGGATTTGTTTGATTTTCCCTACCATGGCAAAGTGAGATCGAATCTGCGCCGTCCGAGTGGAGAAGGCCAGATTGCCCACGTAAAGAGTGGCGCTTTCCGCTAGCACCCGTTTCTGCGTTTCGATGGAATCATAGAAGGAGCGATCCCAGTATAAGCGCTTCGACGAGGTGTCGTCTGCAAACAGCAGCTCCGAAGCTGTCGGCGTGGCGATTGTCTTGAAGGTGGGACCGGCTGTGGTCGATGCCGTCGCCATGGTTGCGGTGGAGGTCATGGTGGTTGTGGCCTCGAATAAACTTACACGCGGACAGCTTTGGTGAAATAGCAAAGGCCGCACACATGCTCAACCAAGCTCACGACTCGATTCGACACGACTCGACCGGACTCGTACTGGGAACAACGGCAACGGCATCCGTCTGCATTCGACACCTTCGTCGAAGTGCTCACAACACAACGAAGCCTCCAGCATTCCGAGAACCCATTCACAACAACACGAAAGAAGCAAGAAGAACGCAACAAACGCAGCAGCAGTCAGCTACCGGTATCGATACGGCATGAGTACTGACAACGACGACCTAGCCTCCATCACGGCAGAAGCGCCTTCCGGCGGAGTCTTCAATTCGCTAAACCGTCGCAGTCGCATGAGGTCGTGTTGGCTGCCGCTGATTAGCTTTTGCAATGCGGTGGGTCTAGTGGGAATGGGCTTGCTGGTAGCCTTTCTATTCTTTCAACTTCAATACGTAACCTACAAATTGCAACTGGAAGAAAAGCAAATAATGGATCTACAGAGGCAAGTGCAAGATCAGCAAGCAGGACAAATCCAAGAATTGGCCGTGCAAGTCGAAGACCAAAAGTCGTATACCGTCTACAATCTAGCAGGTACCTTCACCCTCCTGACATGTCTCATATCCGCCTTTCACATGGCCGTTCATGTGAGAAACATGGTGGAACCCATCGTGCAAAGAAAAATATTGGCGATTCTTTGGATGAGTCCAATTTACAGTGTCACCAGCTTTCTCAGTCTGCTGCTACCCATGACAGAAGGGTACCTTTCCATTATCAAGGATTTCTACGAAGGTATGTAAAACGTTGAAAAATTGTTTTATTCATATTGTGTACCTCGCATTCGACTTTGCTAATTTAATCCATTGTGCTTGTCATCTTGTTGCTGTCACAGCCTACGTCGTTTACAGTTTCCTCTCCTTCCTGATATCCGTTCTGGGGAGGGGTGACCGCAGCGTCGTTGTCGATCTGTTGGCGCGCCATGCCGATCATCTAGATACTCCGGCCAAATGCTTACGACGATTCTACGTGCCTCCGCCAGAAACATCAGACCTAGCCAAAGCCAACGCTGTCTTGCTGGAGTGCCAGATTTACACAATGCAATTCGTGTTCGTTAGGCCTTTGACTTCAATCGCCTCCTTCTTGGTGTTTACACTCAGTCGAGACTTGGATCACGATGGGATTGCAGAATCAGCGGGAGAAAGTGCTGCGTCCTACTTTACGTCACCAGCCTTCTTTATCGCCATGATCGAAAACATTTCGGTATTCTTCGCATTTGCAGGACTCCTCAAATTCTACCACATCTTTCAAGATGAACTTGCTTGGATGAAACCCTTCAACAAGTTCCTTGCCATCAAAGGCATTGTCTTTCTTACGTTTTGGCAGGGATTGGCAATCACCATTATTGTACACTTGGATGGAAACAACAATGACTACAACAAGGAACATGAACAAGCCATGCTCATTCAGAATACTCTCATCTGTTTGGAAATGCTCTTCTTTGCATTGGCACATTGGTGTGTATTTCCACCAGAGGAATGGGAGCCAGATTATCGACCAAAACAATATGCGAGGCCTGGATTAGGGATCAAAGACTTTGCATCAGATGTCCGTGTTATTATGGGACGTGGTAAGCACAAGCAAGGAGCCATGCCAGTACCCACCACCCCTCCACCTGTGGACCATCTCGCAGCACCAAATTTAGGGGACCTGGAACTGGCCGAAGAAGACAAGATTATATAGACCTGAAATCGTTTCCAGGGAAAGAGAAAGAGAGAGGACAGTTCCTAGATGATACTTGATTGAAAACGCCGGCGCAAGTCAGGAGGGTGGAACACGCTGAAGCCACCAGAACCTGCCCTGTATGATAAAGGTCATACGTACCGTGCAGATGACCTTTACAATTTGTTTCATGTTGCGCAGCACCAGTACGGTAGATCCGATGGGGAGGGATCAGTGCCAGGTAGGTTCCACCACGAAAGCTTGAATCGAATCAATGATCGCTGAAACCACACTTGCCTGCACCGGTAGGAAACTAGTAATCCTTCCAAACGTTTATGAAAAATGCTACTGTCTATGTGACTGTCTGGGCATCTTCGGTTTGCTGCCTCCTCCTCCTCCTCCTCATATGCACAGACAGAATTCTAATAAGCTATTAATAATCAGTGCTATAACAAGCGCAGATAGCTAACAATACTATTTGCCTTGCCTTCGACCTGACCTGGCCTGGCCTGGCGCTTCGTGGAACTTCGCCAGAGTCCTCAATGGATTGTAGATACGACATCAAAAGGTATCAAGAAAATTGCTTGTGAGGTTCAAGACTTGATCTCTAATGCGGTCCTTTTCCAGGTACAACTCGTGATAGCCATCTTCGAATTCCACCACTGTAAACGAACGAGCATTGCGTGCATTCTTCTTCAGAGTATTCTGTCCTTCGGCTCCAACAATGAAATCTTTACCCGCTTGGAACATTAAGATCGGTGCAGTGATTCGTCTTGCATTCTTTCTTTTGCGAATGGAAAAGGTTGCAGAATAAGCTTCTTTGGCAAAGCCATTGGTAGAACCCCAAGTGGAACCACCACCACCTGCCAGCCAGTCCTGATTGTTGACGAGCAGCTCCTGAAATACGGTCCATCGCTTCCAGCTTGTCGTGACTGTCTCTCTTTCCCATGACTCTTTAGATGTTGGATCCACTAGAGTATCTGGTAGCTCTTGACCAAGAGCCAATTGTTCACCCTGCCCAATCAGGGTGCTGGCGCACGTCGTAGTATAGGCTACGTCTTCGTCTAGACTCAACGGAAACTTGGTGAGGATTTCCATCATCGGTGATGAGATTACGAGTCCCTGGATATCATTGCGGTACTTCTGTGCATAAGATGTTGCCACGGCAGCTCCAAGGGAATGAGCCCATATGAACACCTTGAAATAAGCATTGTTGGCCGATATAACAGTGTCATAGAAGGTCTTGGCATCTCGTACGTAATTATCAAAGTCATCCACGTAGAGATATTTTGATTCTGATATCAATCTTCCCGAGCTGCCCATACCTCTGTGTTCCATGAAGTAGATATCGTACCCTGGTTGCAACTGTCGAATATCGTAGAGAAACTCGGCGTATTTGTCCATCACTTCGCTTGCTCCATGGAGAAAGAAAAGTGCCATATTGCTTGGAGCGGCTGATGGAAATATGCGATAGTTGATTGTTACATCACCAACACCCGAGAATGTCCCAGTTTCACTGAGGTCATACCAAGGGTACACAGTGTTTTGCATACGCTGCCTGTGGGCATCTACCTCCGCTGGTGGATCCTGCTTGAGAGACGGGATTTGCACTTCTTCGCCTCCCAAGAGGGTGAGTACGCAGACAATCAAAGCGTCGAGAAATTGTGCCATGTCGATCAATTGTCGTTATCGGTCAGCTTGTCTTTGAATTATCATTCAATCAGTTCGGCCGTCAGAGTTGGATGCAGAAGGATGGGGCTGGAAAAGAAATGAGCCACAAATAGCAATGAAACGCCAACAAAAGCAACGGCCAAAGTACGGTAGATAGTACGCGTACGACTGTACCCGTACCGGTAGGTACGGTACCGTAGCTACAGCTACCGCTAGTAGACTACATAGAGGTGCCGTCTCGCCAATTTTTAGAAGCTGGCGCTCAGGAATGATTGAATCGAATCGAATCATTCGATTCGACTCGATTCGAATGAATGATCAGTCGAATGTACAACTCGGGACCTGGCTTCCCACGTGACACAGCCTGTCACGAACCCACGACCATTTTGAATGACGTCATTTCAATTCTCAAAGATACCAACGTGCAGTCGTAGTCCAACGTCAACATTGTTCGCCCCAAAGGCAAGCTGTGCATCCGAAGGGGAAGGATGATGATCAAAGAATGCCAAAAGCAGTGTGGTGCGTTGACAAGTGCAATCTTTGAAGAGTGCAGTTTTCTCTTTGGGACAGAATCTAGCCTGACAATTCCATAACGAGCCGCAGTCATGATGATGAATCTTAAAGCTTTCCTTTGCGCAGCGGCTGCACTGCAAGTGGCCAATGGTTTCACAGCCGTGGGACCTTCGTCGCCCCTGCGACAATCGGCTCTTTTCATGACCACTGAAGAAGCACCCACAAAGGAAATCAAGGTCGGTGTCATCGGCTGTGGCCGTATTGGTCTTGTGCACTTGGAGGCCACCACCAAAGCTCCTGGCGTCACCCCCATTATCGTTTCAAACCCCACTGTGTCCAAGGCAGAAGCTGGTAAGATCGCTCTAGTGGCACACAGCATATTTCGCAAAATTGGTTTTAGTGATTCTCAGCATCTGTTTCTTTGATCCGCCTTCCTAACTGATCAGCCGCCAAGCAGTACAACGTGAAGAAGTTCACTAATGATGCCATGGAGGTGATTGAGGATCCTGAGGTCGACGCCGTCTGGATTTGCTCCCCTTCTCAGTACCATGCTGAACAAATCAAGGCTGCCGCCGCCAACGGGAAACACGTTTTCTGTGAGAAACCTATTGCCACCGATTTGGGGGAGACTGTCGAGGCCATCAATGCCTGCAATGAGGCTGGTGTCAAACTCATGATTGGTCTTCAGCGAAGATTCGACCAGAATTTCAAGCGTGTCCAGGAAGCTGTCCAGAAAAAGGAAGTTGGAGAACCCATCATGGTAAGGCTGCTCAATGCTTTAGCTGTCGATTTCTGGCGGTCTAAAATATGGTATCTCACGTTTCTGCCGTTTGTGTTCAATTTCCTGTTGCACAGGTCAAGCTGTGCTCCCGTGATCCTTCCCCACCTCCGTTCTCATACGTTGAAGGTGGAGGCGGAATCTTCGCAGATATGGCTGTTCATGATCTGGATATGTCTCGTTTCCTCGCCGGTGACGATCCAATCGACATTCTTGCCATTGGTTCTTGCCACATTGATAAAAGCATTGAAAAGCTTCCTGGATCTGAGAAATTCGATACCGCATCCTGTCTTGTCCGATACCCGAACGGTGTCCAAGCCATGATTGATGTGTGCCGTCAGTCCTCTTTCGGATACGATCAACGAGCGGAAGTTCTTGGAACACAGGGAATGATTCAGACTGACAACGTCTACCCAAACACTGCCAAGATTTACAAGAACGGTGAGTTGTGGATGGCGGGTCCCTCATTTCGTCGTGTGTGTTCATGATTCTTTTTATGTCCTTCGAAACTCATGCTGGTTACCGCGTTGCCACCATTCAGACTTTACCGGAAACGCCGATATGCCCTATGACTTTTTCCTCTCGCGATACAACGAGGCCTATGTTACTGAAACCATTGCATTCTGTGAATCTTTGGTGAACGACACACCCGTTCCATGCACAGGAGAAGATGGCTTGGTGGCATTGATCATGGCATTGGCTGCTGACAAATCTGCCGAGGAAAACAGATGGGTGTCTTTCCGTGAAATTGTGGAGCAAGTGTACTGCGCTAGTCCTACTGAATGCGAACTTCTTGCCACCAGTGAGGTTTTCCCTGATGGATTCAAGCCTACTGGCAAAGCTGCAGACTTGCTTCTGCCCCGCGAAGACCAGCAAAAAGGTGAGGGCGCAGGTTCACTCCAGAGGTGGTGGTCCAACATGGTGAAGAGCGATTAAGTTGATTGTGTTTGGTAGCGCTATTGTCGGCAGTTGTTGATCCACACAAACACCTGTACTTACATTGGGTGGTTTGGGTGGCGTTGCTTTTATCACTTACGTTACGGCCTAAAACATGATAGAGCTTTCGAGTTTTCTGCGGACTCTAAAGTCTGTCCAGGTTGACCCCCAACCGAACTATGATGAACTCTTTTATGCCATGTAACGTTGCTCGCTCCAGATCTCCCTCCGAATTGCGATACGTGATGCCACATGAGAGCTGCTCTCCATTGAGAATCAAATCTCTCGCGCACACATCTACGTTATGGTACTTGCGCCGGTAAGCTGGTTGTACTGGCCGGGCCTCTATGTGCAAATTTAGTGCGAGGAGCTGGTTTGGTTTTCGCCAGGAGGAGAGATACGCTGACTTTCCGCCGTGCTCCTCCCTCCTTCGGACTCTGGAGTATGGAGCTAGCTAGCTAGCTAGCAATTTGCTCGATATCAACATAGCAGAATTGAGCTCCGCAATGTATGTGCATTCGACCTGAATAATTTCCTCGGTGGTCACATTGGCAGATCTGATGACTTCTGTTCCACGGACTCAAGTCTACAGTATCTCTTCCCACACAACTTCCTAACCCAATGTGACGGGCGTGAGATTACATGTATTTGGTGTGCTTCTGAATGCTTCACTCCTTCTGACTGATATCTTGAATCACTTCTTTGCTTTTACTAAAAATGTCCTACAACCGCAGCTGGTTACTCCGTCTTGACAGCGAACAATCTTTTCATCCTTGCCTCTGTGGATGGCATGTTTGGATCCACAGCAAAGGCCCATTTGCTCAAATCAGTGCGGATGAAGCTAGAGGTTACTACTACTCTATCAAAGTCCAGTTATCAAGTGCCCTCCTTGGGCACCCACTAACTGGTGCCTCCGGGGCTCCCCGGCCCTGCGCACCTTGAACCCTCTTTCGTCGTTCAGGCGTACTCTCTTACCATTGGAGTACATGTGCTGAGAGTAAAAATAATGATGACTGCGCTGGGGGCTGTCCAGCTAATACTGAGTATCGCCAACCCATCTTTTTCTCTGGGGTTGGTCTGTCAGAATTTTGCCTCAACACGGCGGCCAGTAGTTGAACATTTTTGCCAGCTAGAAATTGTACTGAGACCTACATGGTCACCCCAAATGTTGTCCTTCGGCTCCAACAATGAAATCTTTACCCGCTTGGAACATTAAGATCGGTGCAGTGATTCGTCTTGCATTCTTTCTTTTGCGAATGGAAAAGGTTGCAGAATAAGCTTCTTTGGCAAAGCCATTGGTAGAAACCCACAAAATGGCACCACCACCACCGCCAGCTCCAGGTCGCCTGATTGTTGACGAGCAGCTCCTGAAATACGGTCCATCGCTTCCAGCTTGTCGTGACTGTCTCTCTTTCCCATGACTCTTTAGATGTTGGATCCACTAGAGTATCTGGTAGCTCTTGACCAAGAGCCAATTGTTCACCCTGCCCAATCAGGGTGCTGGCGCACGTCGTAGTATAGGCTACGTCTTCGTCTAGACTCAACGGAAACTTGGTGAGGATTTCCATCATCGGTGATGAGATTACGAGTCCCTGGATATCATTGCGGTACTTCTGTGCATAAGATGTTGCAACGGCAGCTCCAAGGGAATGAGCCCATATGAACACCTTGAAATAAGCATTGTTGGCCGATATAACAGTGTCATAGAAGGTCTTGGCATCTCGTACGTAATTATCAAAGTCATCCACGTAGAGATATTTTGATTCTGATATCAATCTTCCCGAGCTGCCCATACCTCTGTGTTCCATGAAGTAGATATCGTACCCTGGTTGCAACTGTCGAATATCGTAGAGAAACTCGGCGTATTTGTCCATCACTTCGCTTGCTCCATGGAGAAAGAAAAGTGCCATATTGCTTGGAGCGGCTGATGGAAATATGCGATATTGATTTACATCACCAACAAAACCCACGAGAATTCCCATAGTTTCACTGAGGTCAACCAAGGTACAGCAGTTGCAAACGCTGCCTGTGGGCATCTACCTCCGCTGGTGGATCCTGCTTGAGAGACGGGATTTGCACTTCTTCGCCTCCCAAGAGGGTGAGTACGCAGACAATCAAAGCGTCGAGAAATTGTGCCATGTCGATCAATTGTCGTTATCGGTCAGCTTGTCTTTGAATGATTATCATTCAATCAGTTCGGCCGTCAGAGTTGGATGCAGAAGGATGGGGCTGGAAAAGAAATGAGCCACAAATAGCAATGAAACGCCAACAAAAGCAAACGGCAAAAGTACGTAGATAGTACGCGGAACACTATATCCCGAACCGTAGTTACGGTTACCGTAGCTACAGTACGCTACTTACCCGCATAGACACATAAGTGCCGTCCCGCCAAATTTTAGAACTGGTCCTCAGGAAATGATTGAACGAACGAATCAGTCATTCCGAACTCGATTCGAATGAGATCATCGAATGACAACTCGGGAATCTGCTCCACGTGACAGCAGCCTGCACGAACCCCACGACCATTTTGAATGACGTCATTTCAATTCTCAAAGATACCAACGTGCAGTCGTAGTCCAACGTCAACATTGTTCGCCCCAAAGGCAAGCTGTGCATCCGAAGGGGAAGGATGATGATCAAAGAATGCCAAAAGCAGTGTGGTGCGTTGACAAGTGCAATCTTTGAAGAGTGCAGTTTTCTCTTTGGGACAGAATCTAGCCTGACAATTCCATAACGAGCCGCAGTCATGATGATGAATCTTAAAGCTTTCCTTTGCGCAGCGGCTGCACTGCAAGTGGCCAATGGTTTCACAGCCGTGGGACCTTCGTCGCCCCTGCGACAATCGGCTCTTTTCATGACCACTGAAGAAGCACCCACAAAGGAAATCAAGGTCGGTGTCATCGGCTGTGGCCGTATTGGTCTTGTGCACTTGGAGGCCACCACCAAAGCTCCTGGCGTCACCCCCATTATCGTTTCAAACCCCACTGTGTCCAAGGCAGAAGCTGGTAAGATCGCTCTAGTGGCACAAAGCATATTTCGCAAAATTGGTTTTAGTGATTCTCAGCATCTGTTTCTTTGATCCGCCTTCCTAACTGATCAGACCGCCAAGCAGTACAACGTTGAAGAACGCTTCAGCTAATGAGCGCCATGGAGGTGATTGAGGATCCTGAGGTCGACGCCGTCTGGATTTGCTCCCCTTCTCAGTACCATGCTGAACAAATCAAGGCTGCCGCCGCCAACGGGAAACACGTTTTCTGTGAGAAACCTATTGCCACCGATTTGGGGGAGACTGTCGAGGCCATCAATGCCTGCAATGAGGCTGGTGTCAAACTCATGATTGGTCTTCAGCGAAGATTCGACCAGAATTTCAAGCGTGTCCAGGAAGCTGTCCAGAAAAAGGAAGTTGGAGAACCCATCATGGTAAGGCTGCTCAATGCTTTAGCTGTCGATTTCTGGCGGTCTAAAATATGGTATCTCACGTTTCTGCCGTTTGTGTTCAATTTCCTGTTGCACAGGTCAAGCTGTGCTCCCGTGATCCTTCCCCCTCCGTTCATACGTAAAAGGTGAGCGGAATCGCGCAGATATGGCTGCAGCTGGATAGTCCGTTCTCGCCGGTGACGATCCAACGACATCTTGCCATTGGTTCTTGCACACATTGATAAAACATTGAAAAGCTTCCTGGATCTAGAAAATTCGATACCGCATCCTGTCTTGTCCGATACCCGAACGGTGTCCAAGCCATGATTGATGTGTGCCGTCAGTCCTCTTTCGGATACGATCAACGAGCGGAAGTTCTTGGAACACAGGTAATGATTCAGACTGACAACGTCTACCCAAACACTGCCAAGATTTACAAGAACGGTGAGTTGTGGATGGCGGGTCCCTCATTTCGTCGTGTGTGTTCATGATTCTTTTTATGTCCTTCGAAACTCATGCTGGTTACCGCGTTGCCACCATTCAGACTTTACCGGAAACGCCGATATGCCCTATGACTTTTTCCTCTCGCGATACAACGAGGCCTATGTTACTGAAACCATTGCATTCTGTGAATCTTTGGTGAACGACACACCCGTTCCATGCACAGGAGAAGATGGCTTGGTGGCATTGATCATGGCATTGGCTGCTGACAAATCTGCCGAGGAAAACAGATGGGTGTCTTTCCGTGAAATTGTGGAGCAAGTGTACTGCGCTAGTCCTACTGAATGCGAACTTCTTGCCACCAGTGAGGTTTTCCCTGATGGATTCAAGCCTACTGGCAAAGCTGCAGACTTGCTTCTGCCCCGCGAAGACCAGCAAAAAGGTGAGGGCGCAGGTTCACTCCAGAGGTGGTGGTCCAACATGGTGAAGAGCGATTAAGTTGATTGTGTTTGGTAGCGCTATTGTCGGCAGTTGTTGATCCACACAAACACCTGTACTTACATTGGGTGGTTTGGGTGGCGTTGCTTTTATCACTTACGTTACGGCCTAAAACATGATAGAGCTTTCGAGTTTTCTGCGGACTCTAAAGTCTGTCCAGGTTGACCCCCAACCGAACTATGATGAACTCTTTTATGCCATGTAACGTTGCTCGCTCCAGATCTCCCTCCGAATTGCGATACGTGATGCCACATGAGAGCTGCTCTCCATTGAGAATCAAATCTCTCGCGCACACATCTACGTTATGGTACTTGCGCCGGTAAGCTGGTTGTACTGGCCGGGCCTCTATGTGCAAATTTAGTGCGAGGAGCTGGTTTGGTTTTCGCAGGAGGAAAGATACGCTGACTTCCCGCCGTGCTCCTCCCTCCTCGGACTCTGAGTATGGACTAGTAGCTAGCTAGCTAGCTAATTTGCTCATATCAACAAGCAGGAATTGAGCTCCGCAATGTATGGCATTCGACCTGAATAATTTCCTCGGTGGTCACATTGGCAGATCTGATGACTTCTGTTCCACGGACTCAAGTCTACAGTATCTCTTCCCACACAACTTCCTAACCCAATGTGACGGGCGTGAGATTACATGTATTTGGTGTGCTTCTGAATGCTTCACTCCTTCTGACTGATATCTTGAATCACTTCTTTGCTTTTACTAAAAATGTCCTACAACCGCAGCTGGTTACTCCGTCTTGACAGCGAACAATCTTTTCATCCTTGCCTCTGTGGATGGCATGTTTGGATCCACAGCAAAGGCCCATTGCTCAAATCAGTGCGGATGAAGCTAGAGGTTACTACTACTCTATCAAAGTCACATCTAAGTGCCTCCTTGGGCACCCACTAACTGGTGCCTCCGGGCTCCCCGGCCCTGCGCACCTTGAACCCTCTTTCGTCGTTCAGGCGTACTCTCTTACCATTGGAGTACATGTGCTGAGAGTAAAAATAATGATGACTGCGCTGGGGGCTGTCCAGCTAATACTGAGTATCGCCAACCCTTTTTCTCTGGGGTTGGTCTGTCAGAATTTTGCCTCAACCAGCGCCAGTAGTTGAAACATTTTGCCAGCTAGAAATTGTACTGAGAGCCTACATGGTCACCCCAAAATTGAGATTTGTTGGGGAGACATAAATTTGATTGCAGCACCTTCGGTTTCAAGGTTGCTCCTCTTGTTGTAGAGTGTCGAAGGTGGTATGTTGAAGAGACAAGGAGAGAGTGACTACCGTTGTAGCCTTGTTTTTCTCCATCCTAGAGTCGATTTGGCTTGGTGTCGGCATGGTCTGCGGTTGACCACGGCATTTTACGGCTGTTGCGTGATAGAAGTATCCGATCGCCACGGACAGAACTGGCAACAACAAGAGGCAAGGAGAGTGGCAACAACAAGCGCAGCGACCATCTCAACGGCAAGTGAGAACAAGGCTTACATCATATCATTTTTTCTGAGAGGAGGTCGACTGAAGTGTTGTACGAAACTTCCCACTGGGTTCAGTTTCATCGGGCCAGGAAGTTGGTCTCGCAACGGTCGATCTCCAATCGGAAGGCAGGTTTGAGAGAAGCCTGCACGGCCGACAGTACTCTTGATGACGCAAATTCCATCACATCCAACAAAAACAATTCTTTCGATCCCGGTGCTGATTTCATTGCTGATTCCATTGCGCCGCTAGCCGCAATGAAGAAGAACAATAATTATGATTTTGTCCACGCTGCTACCACTAAAATTGAGTGATTCCCGTCACAAAGATCATCAATTCCCACGACACTGCTGCTCAGTCCACTGTCGACAATGAGAAAAGCAAGTTGCCTACAGCTCTTTTAGCCAATGCAACGACAGTCCTTACAGTCACAGCAGTTCGGATCATACATACGATTCTACTCTTCCAATTGCAATTGCACAATGACAGACAACGCCAGCAACGGACACAACAAAATTATGTTTGCCGGCCATGGCAAGGCCTTGGAAAACATTTGCACTGCTGCCGACAAAACAGGAAATTACAAGGCAATGTTGGCAGCGCTGTCTCTCCACCAATATTACGCTTTGAGTCATCCGCCGACAACAAGAAAGGATTATTTCCAACTATGGAAGGACAACAGCCTCTCCCTTCCCTGCGGTCCCAATTTTGATGGCCTTAACGGTCTCCTGCAGAATAAAGGCCGACAGAAGCAGCAACAAATTAGCTAGTTACCAACGACACCTATTTTCCGCACTCGCTTGCCCATAATGTGCTCGACATGATGACATTCCGTGCCATCAATTCTGCTCCAGCAGCTTCTCTCATGCGAACAAGGGAGTTTATAACTCACATCCACCAGCAATGCCATCCTGCAGAAGTCCGACAACAACACCATTCTGCAGCCTTTGCCAACAAATATGGTTCTGGTTCTATAGCCTTCAACGAACAACACTATCAGTCCTCACTTGCCTTGTTTGTGTTCCGTATGTCATCTAGTATTGCAGGGTCTGTTCGCCCTCTTGGCAACACCATACAAACTAGGGGAGATTGTGTCAAGCTTAGCCTCAGTACTGCATCTGCCAAGACCAACTCGACAACTTGTCCGATGACGGTGACAACAAGTCCAAGTCACGCTGTAGAATGACGTGAGATTCTACAATGATGCTTCCTTTCCAGTCAACGCAAACCATGGCGACGCTACTGGTACTCCCATGTATAACCAATGCAACAGTGCTCATCACAGACGATAACAACAATTATTTCGGTTCCATTGCAACACCCGTAACAGCCAATATTAATAAGCTGGGTACGGCCAAAAAACAACTCGCCAACAATGACAACAATTCCGGCCTCGTGCCACGCCCACGCGCGACAAGCCGGTGGACGACCACAATGAGTCTACAATGGAGATTGAGCTTCTTGCAAACGGTCTCATTGACGACCAAGGAAAGCATCCGACAAACGTCGCCATGGATCCCTCAACATCGACAACAAGAAGGTCGACTGCTACAAGCAAGAGATTGCAATGAATTATGGGAAGAAACCGACAACAAACAATCGCCTTTGATTCATCTTTCGTCAACGACAAATTACTCTGTGCCGACAAAATCAACAACGACTGACAAGACGATGCCGCGAAATTACAATTTTCCTGCCATGGAAAGATGACAACTTCCAACTCCTTATCACGCGGTGGCCAAACACTCCACAAGAACAAACAACAAATCTGACCGTGCCCACTTACAACTGCACTACAATCACACGCCGCGTTCATCAAGCAAAAAACAACAAATTGAATGCCTCGGCCGAACTGCCTCGCTCAAAAGCAATTCCCTTCCTCCCATTGCCTTGCCGATCCCCAAATTACAAAAGCCCGCGCATCAACCACGATGACGACAAGACGGATTGTTCTGCTGTTGCAAAATCCCGCTTCCAGTCTACCATCGAGGGGATTACTCAAGACAGCAACAAATCGACAAATTTTTTCGCCCCCGATATCAAGAAGGAGCCACCTTTTTTTCGCCGCTGAATGCAAGAAGCACTCACTTGCCCCCCATCACCTGCGGTGTCTCCCATTACACCTGCAACCTCTATCATGCGAATAAGTGGAAGAGTGTATCCTGGCAAGACCACTTACACTGACAACAAACAGACAACAAATAGACAACAAAAGTACCATGTTCCAACCATGAAGAGTCACTTCTCATCTCCACGGAGCCTTTTACCGACTGTGGGAACAAGCTTGTTGACCATCAGTGTGTCCGGTATGTCTTCTTCTACCGTGGAAGACGCCATACGAACAAGGGGAGATTCAGACAAGCTCGCATCCGACACCTACCGATAAACCGACCCAATGTTTATTCAAGTACGACAATCCAGTCTTTGTCGACAAGTACGGCCCTGGTTCCACGGCCTACGGCAACGCTCCTCAACACGATCATGAGTTCCCTCTTACCTTATTTGTGTTCGTTATGCCATCTATTATTGTAGAGTCTGTTCGCCCCCGTGTTGACACCATACAAACAAGGGTAGATTGTGTCAAGCTAAGACTCCGTACTGCATCTGCCAATGCTAATATCCCATCTAAGGATACCAATCGCAAAGCTACACATTTCAAAGGATTCATCAGCATAAAGACATGCATCCAATGTTACTATTGCTTCTGTCCCTGCTACTATTACTGTTCCCATTATTTATTCTGTTCCTCTTGATGCATCTCCTGTATCTGCTTCTACTTTCTCCATTTATGAAGTTTCTAATGATTCCATTACTGTCCAAACATCCAACACACACAAGCAAATGTGAAGTCTCTCCAATACCTTCTACCCCAGTCACTGTGGACACATGTCTTTCTGCTGATGAATACTTTGAACTGCCCTTGGATTGTTTTGAACAGTGGAGGGTTAACACTTCTCTCCCTGTCCAAATCAATTCTATGAGTGTTCCTGCTGATCTTTATACCCACATCCCTTCTCCCTCTGTTTCCCCCTTGGATTACCCTTTGGATATACTTGTCAAAGATGATGACTATTGTTCTCCTCCTGATGATCGCTTTGGCCATTGCTCGCTCCAGAACCCATCATCCCTCTATCCGAAGTCTAACCCTCCTCCCTCTACATCCAACCCTATCTTGCAATGTGATTCTTTCCCCCCTGGTATTTGGGAAAAAAAAAAAAAGAAAAAAAAAAAAGCTCAGGTTGATACTGGTGCTCATGTTAGTTGTACTGGTTTTCTCCATCTTGCAATACACGGCTATTAACCTTATTCCCGACTCGATCCTAGATAGAGGTTGAGTTCGACTCATGACCGATTCTCGCGAATATCCATTGGGACAGGGTTTTCAATGACCGCGTTAGTCATAATAGGTTGATTATGAAACATTGCTCTAGATTTTTAGCCATCGTGGAGTACTTCCACGCTACTCAGATAAATGCTAAGCGAATCTTCCACGCGTTCCGTTTTGGAATCGTGGAGAGACGTAGGAATACTAACACAACCTACTCTAACACACACTACAGTCTCCCTCGGGACTTCAGATCTACGATCCCTTTGATTGTGGATAGTCTCTCGTTGATTAGTTCATAAGCTTCTAATCCCTCATAATTTCTCTTCAAACTCAAAACACTCGAAAAGATCTTACAACTAGCTTTTAGCGTAGTGGCATTTTGTTAACAAACACTATAACTTTCAGCTACCCTAAACATATTCCTTCACCATAAAGATTGCCAAAGACGAATACACAAGCTTCGAGTCAAAGCTGCGTGACAAACCATTCCTTCCTCTCATCGACCCCGATGATGAATGCGAAATCGATGATTCTCGCCCTACCACCTACAAATTCGCAAACTATTCCAGCAGAATGAAAGCAATGGCAAGCCCGACGAGGACCTTCTCCATACGTCCAGCCTACTTGATGGGTCTGAACGTGGAGTCTCCAATCCATTGATGAATTTGACCTTGAAGGTGTACTTGTCACTGTTAGCATCTGCTGGAATAGTGGGAAGTTTGTAGGTGGTATAGCGAGAATCGTCGATTTAGCATTCATCGTCGAGGCCGATGAGAGGAAGGATTGTTTGGTCACGCAGCTTGAACTCGAAGCTGGTGTATGCGTCTTTTGCAATCTTCATGGTGAGGAATAGGTTGAGGGGAGCTGAAAGCTATTTGGTTTGTTAACAAAAATGCACTACGCTAAAAGCTAGTGTAAAGATCTTTCGAGTGTTTTTGATTTTGAGAGAATAAAAGTTATGAGAGTGATTAGAAAGCTATAAAACTAATCAATGAGAGAGATCACAATCAAAGGATCGTATTAGATCTGAACTCCCGCGGAAGAATGTAGAGTGTGATAGAGTAGCTTGCGGTAGCAATCCTACTCCATCCACGATCCAAAAACGGAAAACGCGTGAAGATTCGTCTAGCATTTATCTAGTAGCGTGAAGTACTCCACGCTGGTAAACATCTAGAGCGATGTTTCATCATCAACCTAAGTATGACTAGACGGTCATTGAGAACCCTGTCTCCAATGACTATTCGCGAAGGACTACGTCATGAGTCGAACTCAGACCCTATCTAGGATCGAGTCGCGAATAAAGGCTAAGAGCCGTGTATTGCAAATGAGAAAACCAGTACAACTAACATGAGCACCAGTATCAACCTGAGCTCTGGCTTCAATAACAGAAGAATCAATTGCCAAGATAGGGCTGGATGTAGCAGGGAAAGGAGGGATAGACTTGGTAGAGGATGATGGGTCTGGAGCAGCAATGGCAAAAGCATCATCAGCAGGAGGAGAACAAGAGTCATCATCTTTGACAAGTATATCCAAAGGGTCATCCAAGGGAAACAGAGGGAGAAGGGATGTGGGTGTAAAGATCAGCATGAACACTCATAGAATTGATTTGGACAGGGAGAGAAGTGTTAACCCTCCCCTGTTCAAAACAATCCAAGGGCAGTTCAAAGGATTCATCAGCAGAAAGACATGTGTCCACAGTGACTGGGGTAGAAGGTCTTGGAGAGACTTCACATTTGTGTGTGTTGGATGTTTGGACAGTAATGGAATCATTAGAAACTTCATCAATGGAGAAAGTAGAAGCAGATACAGGAGCTGCATCAAGAGGAACAGAATCAATAATGGGAACAGTAATAGGAGCAGGGACAGAAGCAATAGGAACATTGGATGCATGTCTTTCTGCTGATGAATCCTTTGAACTGTGTAGCTTTGCGATTGGTATCCTTAGATGGGATATTCGCATTGGCAGATGCAGTACGGAGGCTTAGCTTGACACAATCTCCCCTTGTTTGTATGGTGTCGACACGAGGGCGAACAGACTCTACAATAATAGATGGCATACCGAACACAAATAAGGTAAGAGGGAACTCATGATCGTGTTGAGGAGCGTTGCCGTAGTCCGTGGAACCAGGGCCGTACTTGTCGACAAAGACTGGATTGTCGTACTTGAATAAACATTGGGTCGGTTTATCGGTAGGTGTCGGATGCGAGCTTGTCTGAATCTCCCCTTGTTCGTATGGCGTCTTCCACGGTAGAAGAAGACATACCGGACACACTGATGGTCAACAAGCTTGTTCCCACGGTCGGTAAAAGGCTTCGTGGAGATGAGAAGTAACTCTTCATGGTTGGAACATGGTACTTTTGTTGTCTGTTTGTTGTCAGTGTAAGTGGTCTTGCCAGGATACACTCTTCCACTTGTTCGCATGATAGAGGTTGCAGGTGTAATGGGAGACACCGCAGGTGATGGGGGGCAAGTGAGTGCTTCTTGCATTCAGCGGCGAAAAAAAGGTGGCTCCTTCTTGATATCGGGGGCGAAAAAATTTGTCGATTTGTTGCTGTCTTGAGTAATCCCCTCGATGGTAGACTGGAAGCGGGATTTTGCAACAGCAGAACAATCCGTCTTGTCGTCATCGTGGTTGATTGCAGCGGGCTTTGTAATTGGATCGGCAAGGGCAATGGGAGCGAAAGAATTGCTTTTTTTAGAAGCGAGGCAAGTTTCGGCCGAGGCAATCAATTTGTTGTTTTTGTCCCTGATGAACGCCGCTGTGATTGTAGTAGCAGTGTAGTGGGCACGGTCAAGATTGTTGTTGTTCTTTCGAGTGTTGGCCACCGCAGTAGACTCAAAGGAGTGGGAAGTTGTCATCTTTCCATGGCAGGAAAATTGTAATTTCGCGGCATCGTCTTGTCCGTCGTTGTTGATTTTGTCGGCACAGAGTAATTTGTCGTCGACGAAAGATGAATCAAAGGCGATTGGTTGTTGTCGGTTTCTTCCCATAATTGATTGCAATCTCTTGCTTGTAGCAGGCGACCTTCTTGTTGTCGATGTTGAGGGCTCCATGGCGACGTTTGTCGGATGCTTTCCGTGGTCGTCAATGAGACCGTTGGCAAGAAGCTCAATCTCCATTGTAGACTCATTGTGGTCGTCCACTGGCTTGTCGCGCGTGGGCGTGGCACGAGGCCGGAATTGTTGTCATTGTTGGCGAGTTGTTTGTTGGCCGTACCCAGCTTATTAATATTGGCTGTGACGGGTGTTGCAATGGAACCGAAATAATTGTTGTTATCGTCTGTGATGAGCACTGTTGCATTGGTTGTACATAGGAGTACTAGTAGCGTCGCCATGGTTGGCGTTGACTGGAAAGGAAGCATCATTGTCGAATCTCACGTCATTCTACAGCGTGACTTGGACTTGTTGTCGCCGTCATCGGACAAGTTGTCGAGTTGGTCTTGGCAGATGCAGTACTGAGGCTAAGCTTGACACAATCTCCCCTAGTTTGTACGGTGTTGCCAATAGGGCGAACAGACCCTGCAATACTAGATGGCATACGGAACACAAACAAGGCAAGTGAGGACTGATGGTGTTGTTCGTTGAAGGCTATAGAACCCGAACCATATTTGTTGGCAAAGGCTGCAGAATGGTGTTGTTGTCGGACTTCTGCAGGATGGCATTGCTGGTGGATGTGAGTTTACTAAACTCCCTTGTTCCATGTAAGAGAAGCTGCTGGAGCAATTATGCACGGAAATGTCACAATGTAGAGCACATTATTGGGCAAAGCCGAGTGCGGAAAAAGGTTCCGTTGTAACTATCGATTGTTGCCTGCTTCGTGTCCGGCCTTATTCTGCAGGAGACGTAAGCCATCAAATGGGACCGCAGAAGGGAAGGCTGTTGTCCTTCCATGGTTGGAAATAATCCTTTCTTGTTGTCGGCGGATGACTCAAAGCGTAATATTGGAGGAGAGACAGCGCTGCCAACATTTCCTTGTAATTTCCTGTTTTGTCGGCAGCAGTGCAAATGTTTTCCAAGGCCTTGCCCTGGCCGGCAAACATAATTGGTGTGGTCCGTT